TAAGGGAGTTAGGACAACCGGGATGATGTCCCAGGTCTCCACAGTGACAGCGGGTTGCTTGGCTTCACAGGACTCAGTTTCCCCATTTCTTGCAAGGGATCTGAGCCAGACCGGCTGGATCCGGAACTCTCAAACCCTCCCGGCGTCGGCCCCTGGAGCTGCCCCGCTTCGTCTGTCAGAGTAGCCGACGAAACCCACCCGACCCCGACTGTCTCCCGCTTGGGGCACTTACAGCCCGGAGGGACGCCAAGCCCACCAGCCTTCGCGGGAAAGCTCTCCTCACTGTTGCCATCTTTGCCCAGTCCCGTGGCCACGCCCTCTGGGTCCCGCGTGACCGCCGAACGCCCTGTGGGCGGGACCAGGCATGGGGCGGAGCCTTGTGCGTGACGTAGACTCCCAGAGTTGGCTCCACCCCCACTCCGCCTTTGTTTTCCTTCCCAGCTGGTTATTCTGGTTATTCTCCGCGCCACGGAACTATTTTTTGGTTTTGTTTTGATTTTGGCTTTCTGATTCTATGTAACCCACGCTAGCCTGGAATTTACATATCACCCAGGTTGTCCTCCTACTCATGGAAATCCTCCTGCCTCTGCCTCCTGGATGTTGACAGAAGTAAGCCACTACATCTTGCCCATTCAGTATTTTCCAGGCTTGTTATAAAACACAAAGCAAGGAGCAAGGAATATAGAGATGGTTAAAACTTCAGCCGGGTATGGTAACGCACGTCTGCCGTCCCAGCACTCCAGAGGCAGAGGCAGGACTGTCCCAAGTTTGAGACCAGTCTGTCTATATAACAAGGTTCAGACTAGTCAAGGCTTCAGAGAGAGAGGCGTTGCCTCTTAAAAACCAAATCCAACCAAAGGGGGAAAAATGAGGAAATGTAGTGAAAGTCTCTCTTCCTGGGTTTAGAGTCTGAGAGGTATGGAGAGAAACGTGGTCGTAAAATGTCTAATTTTGAAGATAAGCCGCAGTACACCTGTTTTCTGTTGTGTTCTGAGCTGTCTGCATGTGTTAAGTATCTGCCACCATCTTCAGGCAGCAGCAGCTTCAGAGAAAACATTCTGTGATGGGTTCGTGAAGGAGTAAGAGCTATCCAAGCGAAGAGGTTGTCAAGTACAAGACAGTAGAAGACTGAAAGTCCTCCCCTCCTCAGGAATTAGCAGAACCCTGGGCTGGGGAGACAGCTTGGTGCACAGCACAAGGTCGTGAACTGAGATTCCCCGGTGCCTGGTACTGGCGGGCATAGGAGTGCACGCCTTGAATCCCAGCACTTGGGAGACAGGCAGGAGATCTGCCTGGTTTACACAGTGAGTTCCAGGACTGAACAGAGAGATGCTCTCTCAAAGAAACAAAAGAATTTAAAAAAATATTTATTATTTATACAGTTAGCCAGAAGAGGGCACCAGACCCCATTACAGATGGTTGTGAGCCACCATGTGGTTGCTGGGAATTGAACTCAGGACCTTTGGAAGAGCAGGCAATGCTCTTAACCGCAGAGCCATCTCTCCAGCCCCAAAAGAATTTTTTTTTAAAAACTTCATCAAAAAGGTTTCCAGACAAATCGAATACAAATGCGGTGACCCTGAGGTAAGGAAACGGATGCTTGGTGCAGTGTTTTTCAGTCTGCATGCTGCACCCCATTAACTGCAGTAGCTTCTTGGGGGATGCCAATCATTTCTAAAAATAATGAAATAGGAAGTTATCAGAGAACATTAGAGTAATAGAACAGACAGGAGAGGTGGCTCAGCAATTAGGAACACGTGTTCCTGCAGAGGTCCTCGAGTTCAGTTCCTGCGCCCACATGACGGCTCACAACCAATGGTAAGTAACCATTGGTAACTCCAGTTCCAGAGGATCTGGTCTTCTGGCCCCTGAAAGCACTGCATATATGTGATGCACAAACTTGCAGGCAAACTACCGCCTGGCCGAAGTTATTCTTTTTCATTACATGTAGATGTGTACCTGCATATGGGAATGTGTGTGTTGCTGGATCTTCCGGAGCTGTCATTACAGATGGTGGTGAGCTGCCTACTATGGGTGTTGGGAAACCGAACTAGGATCCTCTGGAAGAACAGCAACTGTTCTTAACCACTGAGCCATCTCTCTCTTCAACCCAGTAAATAAGCATCCTGGGTGTTGTGGTTAATCCCTGCAGTCTGAGATACACAGAAGGCTGACTGGAGATGGAGCTCCATTGGTACAGTGCCCGACTAGCATGCAGGAAGTAAGAGCCGGAATGTTGCCACACAGGCTTCTAATCCCAGAGGTGGGGTTCCCCCCCCAGGAGTTCAAGGTCATCTTCAGCCTCAGGCAGTTCCTTGCCAACCAGGATGAGCAGAAACTCTCTCACAACAACAGAGTTAGCTCTTTGAGGTTGAGGAGATGGCTTTGAGGATAAAGTGTTAGCTGCACAACCCTGAAGACCTAGGTTTGGACTCCCAGTACCCACAAAAGATCAAGGCATGGCAGCACATACCTAGAACCCCAGTGTTGGGGAATGGGGAGCCCCAGAGCTTGCTGGTCAGTGAGTCTAGCTAGAATGATGAGCTCTGGGTTCAGTGGGAGATCGTTTCTCGTAAAGTAAGGTGGAGAGCAACAGGTACAGACACCTGATATTGACCTCTGGCTTCCAACTGTGCACACCCTGGCACACGCATGTGGGCACACATGCATACACACTTTTATGTTGTTGTTTGAGACAAGGTTGCTCTGTAGCTGGAACTAGCTCTTGTAGACCAGGCTGGCCTCTAACTTACAAAGATCCGCCTGCCTTTCCTGAGTGCTGGGATTCAAAACGTGTGTGACCACCCCGGCCATTTAAAAAAATTTTAAAGCTTATTGTGAACACAGTGTTCTCCCTGAACGTGTGCACTTTTCTTTGCTCCCCTCCTATTCAACCCTTTCCCGAGGTCCCCATGCTCCCAATTTACTTAGGAGATCCTGTCTTTTCCTACTTCCCAACTTTTTTTT